TATAGATTAACCTGCCATTCATAATATATATATATATATATATATATATCATCAAGGGATATTAATATGGACTGGATCAAATGGTTATGAAAGTTATGCGCTAAAAGACTAAAATGATCCTCCCCAAAAACTATAAATATGTTTACGCTCATCACTAGAGGAAAAAAGAGAGGAAGAAAATTCAAAAGTGTCATAGAGAGAAGATCTGACAAATATCTGTTAGCCCCTGTAGCGGCTGACCGCCGTCATCCACTATCGACCGCCACTGCCTGCCACTTCCAACTATCGATCGTTGCTGCCCTTGCTTGCAGCCAACGTAGTCCAAATAGATTTGTTGTGTGAAACACAAATTTTTTACTTTGTGTTGTATAAAAACAAGTATAATTTTTACTATAATATTGTAATATTATTGTCCCGTTGAAAAAAGGGAGCTGAATCTCTGCACTCACAAACACATAATGGATTACTTACTGGTCTTGGCCACATGATTTTTTTATCTCTCTACTTCTCTTTTATCTTTTTATGATTGATCAAATGTAGTAAAATACAAGTCCACCATTTCGAAATTTCGGGCACACAAGAGCTATAATTTTAATCTTTTTTATTTACCTTTGGGACTAAAACTAACTGAATTTAAATATTTAATACTTATTTTTCAAGCATTCTTAGATAATTATTCATTTAAACAAATGATAAAAATATGCACCTTGATATCCATATAAAAAACCGCCTTAGTACATTTGTGCATACTAATATTCTAGTCAAGTAGGGCTGAGTCTGATAATTCTATTCTAAATCGGGAGCTCCTTCAACATATATACATTGAAAAATTATTCCATACGGACATCGCATGCAGCGATCTTGGCCCGATCACCGCAAAAATATATCTCAGTGGGCCCCACATTCAATTTTTTTTTTTTAAAAAATTGATTGAGGTGATCGACGGTGGAGATCGGACACCGCATGCAGGCGCAATCATGCGGTCGCATGCATGCGGTGTCCGTATGAAATAATTTCTCTATATACAATACACTCTCGATTGTAAGGATTCACTCTAAATAAATTCAGTTTAATCTAAAAATAAATTATAGACTTAAAATGAATAAGACAAATATCTCATATTAGAATATTTATTAAATTACTCGGTTCAACAATTAAAATTTGAAAAATAATTATTTAAAATAACAAACATTAGAAATAAAATAAAAAACCAAACGCTGAGTTTTTTAATTATTGATTTTCTCGTTTTTTTCTAATTTTAATCATCTTTTCCACCATGACATTAAAAAAGCCTTAAAATATTTCTAAAATCAATTAAAACTAATAAATAAAGACTTACCGAAAAGCAGCTAATAAATTCATTATTTGCTTTATTATCCTATTAATAAATCATTTTTATTCACAAATTAATATCACCTTAATTTTAAAATGAAATAATTTCCCCACATGCCTATAAATTCACGACCAATACATTCCCCTCACCACCCCACAACGCCAGCCAACTTTCAGCCATGGACCTCCTCTCCTCTCCCTCCTTCCCCTCCTCCACCTCCACCTCCACCCTCCTCTCCTCCCTCATCATCCTTGCCGCCGCCTACCTCACTTTCAGGCAATTCCGCCGCCGCCGGCCGCCCGTCTACCTCCTCGACTTCTCCTGCTTCAAACCCCCTCAAAACTACCGCGTCCCTTACGCCGCTTTCGCCGAACACGCTCGCTTCATCCTCGGCGAGGAGACCGCCTCTTTCCTCATTCGAGTGCTCGAAAAATCCGGCCTTGGGGAGGAAACCGCCCTCCCCGTCGGCGCTCACTACATTGAACCGACTCCGGTGCCGACTATGAGCGGATCGCGGGAGGAGGCCGAGCTGGTCATCTTCTCCGCCGTCGACGACGTGTTGAAGAAGACGGGAGTTGACCCGAACGACATTGGAGTTCTTGTTGTCAACAGCAACAGTTTTTATCCGGTGCCCTCCTTGACCTCCATGATCGTCAACCGGTACAAGCTCAAAAGCGATATTCGGAGCTTCAGCCTTGCGAGCATGGGATGCAGCTCAGGGCCGATTTCTGTTGGCCTTGCTAAGGATCTCTTAATTGTAAGTAATACTGCTTGATTAAATTAATTTAATTAAATCAACATAAAAATAATTATTTATTTACAAATCTTACTCCTGAGCTTCCATTATTGCAAAATTTATTTTTTCTGTATTTTAGATTTATGCATGAGAAGTTGTGTTCATATTTTGAATATTGCTGTTATAGAAGTTTAATTGGCTAATTGTTTTTTATATCTAATTAAGCTAAATGTGCTCAAAATTAACAATTATGAACCCTTAATTATTATAATTAATTAAAACAAATAATTCAATTAAATGTTTTAATAAACAGACAAACGTTGATTAATTGGGAGAGATATAATAAGAAACTATTTGATATAAACAGTACAACTTTACACATTTATTTGTGTAATTATGATAACTCTGGATAGCACACTGTGGGTCCGTTTGAGGTAGCTTATAAGTGCGGGCGGCGCTTTCAAAACGCCACCGTACCTTTTGGTTCGCGCGTTTTGCCAGTTTACCCGAAACTGCGTTTGAGTTTTTACACTAAATGCAGACCGCGGGTCAACCCTTGTGGCGGGTCCGCAGGCCGCGTTTCAGCTTATCCTGAAACGCACAAGCTGCCCCAAACAGACTCTGTGACTGCATTTTTCTCTCTCGGCTCAAATTTAAGCATGCTAATTTTAGATAAAAATGCAACAAAGTTAAAGTAACCAGCAAACTTTTTTTTTATATAAATATTGCCAAATGGGCTAATTAATAAATTGCATGAAGGGTCGGTGCAAATAAAGGTTGCAATTAATGTGGGGAATTAATTCAAACTATTTTACTATTTATATGGCAGAACACTGTAAAACATATAACTACGATGGTCCCCAAGTCGGCTAGATTGGGCCAGGAATATGTTTAAACAAAATTTACATGCATACCACTAACTCTTATGTATTTACATATCAAATATCTAAATTTTTATATTTATATTTACAACATGTTTATTTTATAAATTTATGCAAGAAAATTTATACAATAGTAATATGTTCTGAATGTAAATCTGAGAGCTTAGATGTTAGATATATAAATACATAAGAATTGTGTGAAAAATATAACATCAAAACTTTATTCGAATGATAAGAATATTTTAATCAAAATTATATGGAATAAATTACTATTACATTTAACCCAACAAAACTGAAATATAAATATTTATTTTCAAGTACAAAATACGAGAGCTTAAAGTGTACATGAACCAATTACTAATTATCATAAAGTGTGGGCGTAAAGTGTAAACTTAGTACATATTAATTGATTCCGGAAATTAATGTAAACTCCTCTCGACTTTTTAAATTGAATTACATAATTAAATATTCAATCACACCGTCCTATTCGCACCTAAGTCGGCAACATTCACCCAATTATGTTCAGTCGGTAACCGCTCAATTTATTTTCTGAGAAATTTACATTATATATATATATATATATA